GAGTATCGACGTAGTCAAAGAAAGTCTGAAATTAAAAATGCAGTATTAACTGAGCTTGTAAATGAAGAGGTGCTACCGAAGGGGGCACTGACTTTGCGTTCATTTGACCCCAGAGAAACTGTAGAGATAAGAAAGTTAGAAATGGAGCATAGAAGGCTAGAACGAGAAAAGGATAAGTTGCATGAGTTGGCTTTGAAGGAAAGAGAAGAAAGGGAAAGAGAGCGTGAAAGACAGCATGAATTAGCGTTAGCACAGGTTAGCAGTAGAAGACCAGACTTACAGGCATTGTCTTTAGTATCTGAGACAAAATTGTTTGATGTGACAAAACATTTGAGACTTGTGCCTGCTTTTGACGAGGAGGATCCACAAGAGTTTTTCATGCAGTTTGAGAAGATTGCAAAGTCTTTTCAGTGGCCTGAAGAGTCGTGCTATGATTCCAAGTGTGTTCACTGGGTCAGCTCGTTCAGCATTTCTGTCTTTGTCAAGTGAAGTTTGTCGTAGTTATAAGTTAGTGAAAGAAGAAATTCTTAAGGCATATGAACTCATTCCTGAAACATATAGAGTGAAATTTAGGACTATGAGAAAGACTGATGCACAGTCGTATATAGAATTTGTTTATTCATTGAGTAAAATGTGTGGATGGTGGATAACGTCTAGCAAGGTAGAAATTTTGAGGAACTTGTTCAGTTGATGATTTTAGAACAGTTCAAAAGAGCCACTCCAAGAGATATACAATTGTACTTAGGAGAGAGAGATATTAGTAATGTTCATAAAGCTGCTGCATTAGCTGATAGCTATGCCCTTACTCACAAAATGCATCATGTTAAATCTCAAAATCATTCAGGTGGAAAGGGTTTTGTAGCCAATGAAAAGGGTGGTAGGCAGGATAGTAGTACTGCTTCTTCTAGTAAAGTAAATTTTCGTGGAAACTCAGGTGAGCTTTCCAAGACCTATGCCAAGACTAAAGCATTTGTTTGTTTTTGCTGTATGAAACCAGGTCATGTGATTGCGAATTGCCCTAAATTGGAAGCAAAGAAGGAAAACCCAGTTTAAGTCCATTACAAGGAAAGCAAATTAATTGTTGTTGATTTTTCCAGGTATATAGGACAAAGGTCAAGGACAAAATTGGGCCCTTAAAGTCAGGGAGAGGGGAAGTGATCGATGACAGTGTGGAAATAAGCAAGCATTGAACAGCTGCTTTTCATCAGTTTTCACAGAAGAAATTCACGAAGAAATTCCAGAAATGGAACTGATATTTTGGGAAATGAAGAAGAGAAATTAAAGAATATCACTATCACAAAAGAGGATGTTCTTAAGAAGATAAATAAATTAAAGAAGACAAATTCCCCAGGGCCAGATGAAATTTTTCCTCGAGTTATGAAAGAGTGTAAGGAACAGATTAGCGTACCCCTCGTAAATTGATTTACAAAATCATTAGACACGGGAGTTGTGCCAGACTTGTGGAAACAGGCAAATGTAGTACCCATATTCAAAGAGGGAGACAGAGCATCAGCGTCAAATTACCGGCCGATTAGTTTTACGTCAGTAGTGGGGAAATTTCTTGAATCAATTATAGCAAAAAGTATTCGATCGCATTTATAGAAAAGCAAATTAATCTACGACTCTCAACATGGGTTTACAAAGGGAAAATCTTGTCTAACAAATCTGCTGACGTTTTTGAGGAAAGTCTTCGAGGTAGTAGATAATACCGATAATTACATAAGAACATAAGAAAATAAGGAGTCTGCAATAGGCCGGTTAGCCTGTGCATGGCAGCTCCTGTCGAGAGTTACTACCACTCTCTATCATCCATGAATCTATCTAGCCTCCTTTTAAAACTTTCCAGTGTTCCAGCACTTACTACAAAGTTGCTAAGCTTGTTTCACTCGTCCACCACCCTATTTGTGAACCAGTTCCTTCCTATTTCCCTCCTACCTAAACTTATCCAACTTAAATCCGTTGCTCCGAGTCCTATCCTGCTCGGATATTATAAGAACTTTATCTATATCCCCTTTATTGATTCCTTTCACCCACTTAAATACTTCTATCATATCTCCCCGCACTCTTCGTCTTTCTAGGGAATGCAAGTTAAGTTTCTTTAACCTATCCTGATATGGAAAGTTTCTAAGTCCCGGAATCATTTTCGTCATTCTTCGCTGCACCAACTCTAGTGAATTGATATCGATTCTATAATAAGGGCATCAGACTGAACCGCATAATCGAGGTGCGGCCTGACTAGCGCAAGATATAGTTGCAATAAGACCTCTGCACTCTTATTACTTACACTTCTAGATATAAAACCCAATACTCAGTTTGCCTTATTTCGAATATTAACCCAATATTTTCTAGGCCGTAGGTCCGGGCTTACAAGTACCCCTACGTCTCTTTCACAAGTCGACTTCTCTAGGTTGATGTTGTTAAGGCTTTATACATTGTCAGTATTTGTTCTTCCAATATTAAGTACGCTGCAGCTGGTGCTGAATTTCATTTGCCATTTTTCAGACCACCCCTGGCAGTTTATTTAGATCCTCCTGTAATACATTTGCATCCCCCTGAATTAATCTGCCGCCCTATTTTGGTGTCATCCGCAAACTTGCTTATGTCACTGCTGATCCAAGTATCTAAATCGTTTATGTAGATTATGAATAAGAGTGGGCCTAGTATTGACCCCTGGGGAACCCCACTGGTTACACGGCCCCACTCATATTTAACACCATCTTCGCTGACCCTCTGCGTTCTATCCGTGAGCCATGATTTTATCCAATTTAAAACTTTCTCCTCGATACCATGAGCCTTAATTTTTCTCAGAAGGCTCTGATGTGGTACTCTGTCAAATGCTTTGCTAAAGTCTAAGTAAATAACATCGTAATTTTCGTCATTATCTACTACCTCGAAGACTTTCCTAAAAAACGTCAACAGATTTGTTAGACAAGATTTTCCCTTTGTAAACCCATGTTGAGAGTGGTAGATTAATTTACTTTTCTCTAGATGCGATCGGATGCTATCTGCTAAAATTGATTCAAGAAATTTCCCCACTACTGACGTCAAACTGATCGGCCGGTAATTTGACGCTGATGCTGTGTCTCCCTTTTTGAATATGGGTACTACATTTGCCTGTTTCTACAAGTCTGGCGCAACTCCGGTGTCTAATGATTTTGTAAATAAATTTACAAGGGGTCCGCTAATCTGTTCCCTACACTCTTTCAAGACTCGAGGGAAAATTTCATCCGGCCCCGGGGATTTTGTCTTCTTTAGTTTATTTATCCTCTTAAGAACATCCTCTTTTCTGATAGTGATATTCTTTAATTTCTCTTCTTCGTTTTCCCAAAATATCAGTTCCACCTCTGGAATTTCCTCTCGAATTTCTTCTGTGAAAACTGATAAGAAGTAGTTGTTCAATGCTTTGGTTTTTTCTTCACTGCCATTTATCACTTCTCCCCTCCCTGACTTTAATGTCCCAACTTTGTCCTTGACTTTTGTTCTATATACGATGTTATTTACTTAGACTTTCGCAAAGCGTTTGACAGAGTACCACATCAGAGGCTTTTGAGAAAAGTTAAGGCTCATGGTATCGAGGGGAAAGTTTTAAATTGGATAAAATCATGGCTCACCGATAGAACACAGAGGGTCAGCATAGATGGTGTTAAATCTACTGGGCCCACTCTTGTTCATAATCTATATAAACGATCTAGTTACTGGGATCAGCAGTGACATAAGCAAGTTTGCGGATGACACCAAAATAGGTCGGCAGAATAATTCAGGGCAGGATGCAAATGCACTACAGGAGGATTTAGATACTGTTAAATCATGAACACTGGTGAACACTGATATTCACTACAATTGACTGAATTAACTGAATGGCTAGGGAACACAGAACATACCTGGAGACAAACGGGAAGCAGTGTCAAGGGACGCTCTACCAGGCCATCTTGAGTTTATATACCCCTGAGTTGCCAGTGATCGTTACTCAGGCAATGACAATAATTACAAACAAACTAACTGTTACTCATTCAAAGATGACCCTCAGTTGACAAAGGTCTGGCGAATTACTTGGGTTGATTTACACAGACTAATTCAAGATTGAGCTTCCCAGGAGAAAGTGGAATAAACAACGTATTGACAACTGTGTCCGAAGGCGGGACTTACTGGGAGGGATCGCGAGGGTAAACACGCTCCTTCTAGGGGTCGCTAACTCACTCATGTTTTGCGGGCGTGGAGTTTAATAAGAATCATTAGTTATATAGATCAGCAGTCAACGTGACCATGACATCGTAGCAACGGATTTAAGTTGGATAAGTTTAGGTTTAGGAGGGAGATAGGAAGGAACAGGTTCACAAATAGGGTGGTGGACGAGTGGAACAAGCTTAGCAACTTTGTAGTAAGTGCTGGAACGCTGGAAAGTTTTAAAAGGAGGCTAGATAGATTCATGGATGATAGAGAGTAGTAGTAACTCTCGACAGGAGCTGCCATGCACAGGCCAACCGGCCTATTGCAGACTCCTTATTTTCTTATGTTCTTATAACAAAAGATACACATGTACTACAGTGGAGTTTTCAGACCACTATGCTCTTTTATGAATATGCGTGCTGAGGGGCTGCTGAGATATGGATCTATAGGCTTAAACTAAGGGAAGTGTGACCTTTGACCTCAGCATCTCCTGAGTTGGTGAGGTCATATTACTCATTTTGTTGTGAAGCGTGGTGTATAGAGGGACGTGCACGGGTCTTTGGTAATTATTGGGTCGTTGTGAGCTCGCATTGGGACCATTTCCATATTTTCCGATGTTGATAATAGTGGTGTCTAACGATATAATATGTGATGAGAAATCAATCCAAGTGAATTATTGTCTTGTGCAATTAATATATTTTTTTAGTGCTGTACGGTTGGTGCTGTTGTTTGATATAAGTATCATATTATTACCAGCGCGTCTCTTTAACCTCAATCTCAGAAACACCAGTCCAGGTCACGGTAAATAATATATCAATTTTGTTTGTGCAGATTCGGTATTCTGAGCGGCCCTTCCACTGCATTACCATTAACCCCTGCCCTGCCCTGTCAGACAATGATGTATGTGACGTCTCTACTAGGACTCTTCATAGTATTAGCGTCCTCCGGTGTGCCAAGGCTGCCTCGCCTTCAGGGTAAGTTTACAGGTAATGTCTGTCTTTCCATGATATATGTATATTCGATGTCAATAATTAACTTTAAAAAGAGAGAATTTACGCATGATTCAATAACCGACATTTTGGTAAAACGAAACATATCAATAAATTTTAATCATCTATGAGAAGCTCTATTATACGTATGCAGATAACGCTTGTTACAAAACGAATGAATATATATTCTAACGAACATCACATTGTCAATATCAGACAGACCTTTAATAGCTGCAGTGGAGGATGTGTTGGCCTCAGTCACTGATCCTTACTGCTTCCTTGTATTCATCACGGACGGCAGTACCTGGCCCATCGCTCTTTATAAGGTGCGTTATTTAACCTGGTGCATCTATTTCACTATCTTTCAACGTTTTAAATTTAACCCATTTTAGTGTATATTATTTACAAAAACATCTTTTGAGTCAGATATTTCAGAGTTGATCTATACCTAGGAAGACTAGAGGTCTAAAATTACAGTTACTTTCTTCATATGAAAGCTTTTGGTTATCCGTCCACAAATATTAACTCGCACATCAAAAAATTTTTTTTTTTTTTAATAGGGCATACATCATTACCACGCCCCTTGGGGTGTGGGAGCGTTCGAGGTGGTAGTGGACGGCCAGAACGCTAACGTGACACAGGCGCAACTCTCCTGGGTGGTCGACGAGGCTCGGCGGGTAGGTCATTCTCACATTACTACTGAGGTGGGTAGGTCACTTGTTCATTACTACTGAGGCAGGGAGGTCACTCTCACCTTACTACTGAGGCGGGTAGGTCACTTTATCATAACTTTAACCATGTTAACGTCAACAGCTGCGGCAGGTGTCATGGTGCGTGACGGTGGTGGTGGTGAGCGACGACCCAGCCTTCCTCGTCACCTTCGCTGAGTTATCTGTTAAGGGCCGCCTCCTGGTGTGGTCGTCGAGGCTTCTCATTGTCACCCGCCCTTTTCTCCTAGAGCTGCAAGGTCTCCATAAGTTACTCTCCCTTAATAACGCCATGTTGCTCATCATGGATGAATCTTCAACTTCTCGCCAGTTATTATCAGTGCCAGTATTCTGTTTGTTTACACTGAAACATTTACGGGAATAATGTGGATATTTACCAAATATTGCCAATAATCAAAGAGTTGGAGCAAATAAACATAGCATTGTATATTTCATTGCTTATCTAAAAGCCATTTCAACTACAGGTCTACTGTTTACATTCACTTACCTTTCACAACCCATGAGGCAGAGCCACTGAAGGTTGCCATCTGGACGCCCCACCGAGGCCTCACCCTGACCACCAACCTCCCGCTCTTCCCTGACAAGTTCTTCACGTGAGTGTTAGAATTGAATTGAATTGAAACAGTTTATTTAGCCAGAAAAATACAGATACAGAGTGGATATTAATAACAATATTAACATGGCTGAGCCAGTTGAGAACCTGAGCTCTCTTTGAGGCACCTGATATATACTATATATTTATCTCAAGGAAGTATTATGTAACATTTAGTATCACCTGGAGTAGTACAATAGCATGGTGGTAATAAGTAGCCTTCATCTCATAGTGTTACCACGGTTATCACTTTAATATATATTTATTTTAATTATTTATTATGTGTTTTTAGTTTATTTGATATATATATATATATATATATATATATATATATATATATATATATATATATATATATATATATATATATATATATATATATATATATATATATACATATAATATAAATGTAAAAAATATATTAAATATATAAAATAAATATATAACAAAGTGATAACCGTGCTAACATTCTGATATGTTCTTACTACCACCATGCTGTGTGTACTATTCCAGATGATACTAAATGTTACATAATACTTCCTTGAGATAAATGTACAGTATATATCAGGAGCCTTCAAGAGAGGTCAGGCTCTCTACTGGCTCAGCCATGTTAATATTTTTATTATTATCAACTCTGTATTTGTGTTTTTCAGGCTAAATAAACTTTTCCAATATCAATATCTTCACACAGTAAAGGACGTAGTGTTCGAGTGTGTGGCCATATGTCTGACCGCACACTTTACTTTTTGTTTTGCTCACATCTGCTTGAGGTATTTACTACTAGCGTTTGTATCCTAATCTTAGTCTAGCGGTTACAACATCTTAAAATCTAGTGATTTTGATACATCTTATCATAGTAAACAATGAATTGACTATTTCATGTTTGCACTTGCCTGCTTGCGTCAAATTCAATAAGAAGTTCTTTCCTGATTACAGTCTTAAGGGTTCTTTTTGACAGAGCCAGATTGTATTCAACAGAGTCTTTGTTCGACGCGAGCTTGGCTAGGGCATGAGCGAGCATGGCATTGGGCGGGAGATGGGGCATGGTTCGGGGAGGGTGGCATGAAAGTGAGGGAGACACAGTGGGTGATGGATGAAGCGCGGCGGGCGTCTGGGCCACGACTCCACCCCCTCCCAGTATTGTGGTGATGTTAGGTTACCAGGGTAGATAGAGGCAACGTGGAGGCGAGGAGTAGGAAAAGAACCCATACAGGGCTGCAGAGAGATAAAGAAACAGTAAACCACCTGGCAAAGAGATACACCAATAAGCAAACAGACATAGTGACAGAGAGGTACATAAATATAACCAATGTATGACACTATCAATTACAGAGATAACAATAGACAAGACGAACTTAAGAAGGATAACGAGAAAGATAGGCAGCTTAAGGATAAAATAAGGTCAGAGATGGCGAAAAAGGTTGGTGACTGGCGAAAAGACCAGCATCACATTTCTGAGTATGACCCATCACTACTTCCACCCTCCTCTTATGGTCACAGCTCACCCGAACGCCACCAGAGCGTTCCTCTCCTCATTGTCTCCTCCGCCCCCCCCACCCCCCCCTCATTCTTCTCCTGCCTGGCGCTACAGATAATTATAACCTATCCACTGTCTGCCTCAATGAAAATAGAAATGTTGAGATATTCTGTGATTCTAAAATTGCCTTTTATAAATTTTGAACCCAGACCATCAAAGTCAATGTCTAAAGTGGTATTGAATTGAATCGAATTGAAACAGTTTATTTAGCCAGAAAAACACAGATACAGAGTGGAAAATAATAACAATATTAACATGGCTGAGCCAGGTGAGAACCTGAGCTCTTTTAGGCACCTGATATATACTATACATTTATCTCAAGGAAGTATTATGTAACATTTAGTATCATCTGTAATAGTACAATAGCATGGTGGTAATAAGAACATCTCATAATGTTACCACGGTTATTACTTCAATATTTAGTTATTTTATTCATTTAATACTTGTTTGTTTGGGTTTTTTTTTATTTAAATCATAAGTGTGGACATAAATTACAGTGGAATTGAAAAACATAAGTATGATAGGGGGGAGCAGTACAACAATATTAAGGTTGAACAAGAGGACAGAGCTGTCAGGATAATGTCTAGTTGGTAGATATATTTATTGCAATGGTAATTTCTTATCTCTTTACCTGATAATTTCCGATAAAACGGTTTTGATGTTACAATAAAAGCAGGTACTGTATATATAGTAGGTATTACAAGAAATATAAATACCTAGACAATAGATATTTTTTAAGAGGTGATTTAAAGGAATGAAGCATAGTCTTTGCTCGGATAGGTGGGGGTAAGTTGTTCCACACCTTCACACCATGATATATTATGGAGGTCTGGGACTGAGAGGAGCGCATAGGGGGTGGTCTTAGTAGCTCTGGGTGCCTTAAGCTGTATCTCTGATTGTTCCGGAACTGGAAATAATTATTGTCAAGCAAGTGATTGATAGATTTGTAAACAAAGAGGGCACAGCAGTAGGTGTTAATATCTTCGAATTTTAACATTTTCAATTTAGCAAATTTTTCGTTTGTGTGATCTGTTTTTTCAAGTAGGTGATTGTCCGTACAACTCTCTTTTGTGCAGTAACCAGGGATTGTGTTTTTGAAGAGCCAGAAGGCCTCCTAGTGTGTGACAGTGTATCAGGTGTTGGTAAACAAGATCATGATAGATTTCTTTCATTGCTGTGAGAGTGAGTGACTGTCGAGTGTGATACATGATACCACACTGTTTATTGACTTTACTGTGAATGGCTTGTATGCGGTTTTTCCAGTAAAGTTTCTCATCAACAATAACTCCGAGGAATTTAGTATTTTGTTCGCGTTTGAGTACTGTATTACCAAGGTACAGGGGGTCCAAGTCTGGTGGTAAGTTTTTCCTTCTGGGAAAGAAGATCGTGTAGTTGGTTTTCTGAAGGTTTAAGGTCAGTTTATTACGTATTACCCAGGACCTGACTTTACTTAATTCAGTGTTCATAGTTCTCACCAAGGAATGGAGGTCTGCAAATATGTTGTATTTTATGAGTGTGCTGGCGTGGACTATGTCATTTATGTACAACAAAAACAGTACTGGACTGAGAATGGAACCTTGGGGGACGCCATACAAGATTGGCGAGGAGTCAGATTGGAGATTATTATAGCAGACAAATTGCAACCTGTTGGAGAGATATGAGGTAAACCAATTGTGGGACAGGCCCCTAATGCCGTAATGTTCAAGCTTTGAAAAGAGGATGGTATGGTCGACAGTATCGAAAGCCTAAGAGAGGTCCAAGAATATACCGACTGTGAACTGACTGTCATCAAAGGAATTTTGATGTCATTAGTAAAGGATAGCAGAGCACTCTCAGTCAACCTTCTAGCTCTAAATCTAAACTGGGAGTCTGTAAAGATGTTATTGGCAATGCAGAAGGAATTTAGTCTCCTACATGCTAGCTTCTCCAGTATCTTACACAAGGCTGGGGGGACTGATATGGGGCGGTAATTCTTGAAGAGACCTTTGTTCCCAGATTTTTTATATGCTGGTTGAACTTTAGCAATTTTCAGTTTATCTGGAAATACACTACTAGTGAAGGAGGAGTTACAAATGTGTAGGAGAACAGGTAGTAATAAGTGGGCTACTTTTTTAATGATGCTCATTGGTATGTTGTCTTTGCCTCCTGCTGCATCTTTGGACATTTTTATGATGGCCAGTAATTCATCTGCTGTGACAGGGAATAAGAACAGCTCATATTCCTGTCTGTTTTGCAGGTAGGCTCTACATTCCTTATGGTGATCAGGGATGCTCTCTACAAGATTTTTGCCAACATTAATAAAATATTCATTGAAGTGGTTGGCAATGAGGGAGGTTTCCGTTACAACTGAGTGGGGGGCCGAAGGTTGAATGTTCTTGTTCTGAATAGAATTTATGACATTCCAGGTTTTCTTACTGTCGCCTGATGCTGACTGGAGCTTATTTGTATAGTAGTTACGTTTGGCATTTCTAACTGCTTGAGTTACTCTATTTCTGATACTTCGGTAAGCATCACCGAAAGTTATGGGTCTTTTTGAAAATTTCCTTTGGAGTTTATGTTTGTCTTTTATCATTATGTTAATTTTGCTTGTGATATAGGGTTTAGAAATGGATACAGTTTTCACTGACTTAGTCTTGAGCGGGAAGCATTTATCAAAGCAAGCACTGAAGATGCAAGAGAAGTTGCAGCTGTTCACGTTTGGGTTGTCGGAGGCATAGACAAGATCCCAGTTAGCATTCATTAAGTTGTTTTCAAAAAGGAGCATGTTGTCGGTGCAGTAGTCTCTATATTGTATTGAGGCTCTACTAGACCTTTCAGGTCTTGTGGATGTTTTATACATGGCAAAAACTGGGAAGTGATATATTATTATAAATAATTCAACTTGCAAGATTGTTAGGAGTGTTGTTAGTCCAGATATGATCTATCACAGTGGCAGAGGTGGCAGTTACTCTAGTGGGTTTGGTTATAGTGTTGAAGAAGAGCTTAGAGTGACAGGTACGAAGAAGGTCTAATACTGAAGTGTCAGTTTCTGATTTAAATAAATCAAGGTTGAAATCTCCTGTAATGTAGCAATGTTTCCTCTCTGAACTTATGATAGAGATAAGCTCCGAAAATTTATCAAGAAAATTGCTTACATTAGAGTGGGGTCTTCTGTAGATTACTCCTACTAGGATATTTCGTGTGTCGTTACGTAATTCAGTGAAAACACTCTCCATGTACTCCTCCTGAACATATAGGGTGACACCAGCACTGTGTCGTGACGTGTTGACGCAGTTTCTATTATAACAAGGAATGTTCTACAAATGTTCAATATCGTTAGTGAGTTTGGTCTCACAGAACCCAAATACATCAAATTTGTGGGCAATAGAAGATAAACACTGATCTAAAATGGTATCCAGATGAATGGGAATACTGCTGATGTTATGGCTAATCAAGGAGAAGGAATGAGGTAGTAGGAGACTAGAACTAAACTCGGGAGAGTCA